ACCAAATGACAGATTATATAAGTGAAATAAATCTGTCACCTCGTCAAGTCTTCTACACTGCTCAAACAAACATGCATGTAATACCATATTTAGGATTTATAAATCTGTTGCCTAAGCCTGTGGAATGTACTTGTGCATATGGTGTTGCTTTGACATAAATGGACACACCTGTAAATGTTTCAAATATTTAAAGTATCTGTGAAAACATTTCTTTAATGGGTACGTCATTTTTCTCATGGAGCTTCGTGTGTGTACAACTTCATTATTTTTTCCGAAATCACTCCTCTGATCACCCTGCCACCTGACATTCTGAAAACAGTCTTACGTGGGGGGGGGGCTACATGTGTATACTTAATGGTACATGGACCTCTCGATTTTAATGAAATCGTAATTTGTTACAGGTACATGTACATGTGTATGTACATGTACAGTATGTAACTGCATGTAATTGTATTTTGTGTGAACCTCTGGTGGTATGCAAGGGTAGAATTTGTAATTTTGGCTTCTGTTCTTTCAGGCAAACATCCTGATTAAATTACTTCTCTCCTTGTAAAGAAAATGAAAAATTTGCAGCAGCAAATTTTTTTCTTCATAAAAATGCAATTTGACAGTTTACTTGTCTCCTTTGTACATACTGACTGAACAGTGGTCTTCAGAATGCAAAAGGACAGAGATTGTATGTTGCACTGAGTCCTATACTGGTACCCATAACTTAAGATAAACAATGAGTACTTAAATGCATGATGAAACTTGGCCAACATTGGCTTGAATATGCTTTTGGGCAATTCCACGGGTAACAGACTGACCCATTAGAAGAGGTTTCCTAATGTTTCCACTCTGTAAGGTTAGGACCTAAACTCAAGTGTATTTTGATTCATCATTTAAGTACATGTAGTTTTACAGTCTGCATTTCTTCTCTCCAAATGTGGTTTTTTTTCTGGGAGTCATGTTAGGTTACATGTTGCCATGGTAACAGACTGACACCTTCGGAACCTGGCTTTTATTTGGTTAGTGTTAAATGGCAAAACTTTCTGAAGTTTGCAAATAAAATGTAACGGTTTACTAAAGACATTATAAAGGTACTTGTAAGTCCTTCCTATGTATATGTACACACGGTCATGATGGTGGTGGTTTCCCTAAATCACTATCAGTTGGATAAAATAGCGGCAGTGTTTAAGCTACTTGTAGGATTTGAAAAGTGGGAGTACAAAATGAAAAGCAGGGAGTGCCATCTTGTTAGAGTCCAAAGTTTGTGCGTGAACTTGAAGCACGCAACACGAGCACGCAGTGCGAAGTCCCTTACGGCCGGGATCCAGGGCCTGTGTAAGGGCCCTGGAAGGTCTGCCTATTTTAGATGCTTTCTGGTGGTCTCTAGTGAATTTCTGACATTTTCTCTAAGAGTTTTGCCTTTCAAACAAAAAATAACAGCTTTTACGAAAAAAATAAATTGGTAATACTGTGTGCAATTGTTGTTTTATATACATGTACATCTAGTGTGGTAAAACAGCCCTGCAACAAAGAAGCAAATAATGACAAACACCTTTAAACAGAAATTTCTCCTAATCACTTTATTTTGTTTTTAAAAAATGGTTTGCAAGTAATATTGCAGGTCAGTACTTGACACACCTTTTTGTGCCTTTTTGTTTACAATACATTCTGATTAATATGTGATAAGCAAACATAAATAAATAATGATATAAAATGAATTCCAGAATTCCTGCATGCATGTTTCCTTCGGCACTAAGAACAAGCAAATTGAGTACAAGACTCGACTTCAATGTGGATGAAAAAATACATGTCGTACATGCATAGTGCGTGTACATGCAAACTGTACACACACTCACATACGCCATACAGGCAGGCCGCGGAAAAGTTTGACAATGTTTTCCATCGTTATTGCAAAAGAACTTAAAAGTGGCAAAAACCGTTTCATCTGGGATCACAGCTGAACTACATGCATACACTTTACCCAGAATGCTTTGCATTTACAGCTGTTGACTTGTACATGTCAGTCTGTTACCATAGAAGTCAGTCTTTTACAGTGGTTAATTTGAATAATAAACTACAGGTGTGTAAATTTTCTTTTCCATATTTGTTCATTGACTGATGACAACAGAGAATCCAAAAAAGAAACTGAATCTACACTGTAATTTATTCAAATGGCATAGAAAAATATTTTTGATATTTCAGTAACAGACTGACATCAGTTTAAAACTGCAGGATTTTTCTAAAGTTTTTCAAGTTTGGAATACATGCATTTAAAGCAAGGCTTTTTTGTTCATATAAAAGAAATTTTCCCACGTTCTCTTAATTGGTACATGTAGGTAAAATGTCAATGAAATGTCAATTTATGCAGATTCTGCTTTTTTTTTAACCAGCATCTGTTTTTTTACCATTTTTCTGGTAAAATGCACATTTAAAATAGAATAAATGTTATGTTTGAAATCTGCAGTTACATGTTATAAGCTTCAAATGGTAGGCAATATGACTATGCAAAAGAAAAAAACAATTTTTGACTATCAGGTTGACATTTCCATGGAATTGCCCTTTTAAAACGGGGTGTATATTAACCAGCCTTCCCTAGGTGGGTTTTCATTAAAAGCTAATTTGATCCATAGATGGTTTTATTCCTGGACTTATAAATGTCATGAATACGGTAGGATTACTGGTTATTGCAAAGGATGAGTAAGTTGATAGTCCCATAAGTTGATGCAGGTGTTGGAAGCAATGAACAGAATGAGATACTCAGATTTGAATGTTCCCGTTGAGAGTTAGAAGTACTGTGGTAGGCGGTACATGTAACTTGTTCTTTATTTCATGAGTACATGTATAGGGCAAAGTGCTACAGTGGAATCTGTGTCATTTTACATTCTGATAACCACTGCTAGATGTACATCATTATTGGTTCTTCTGTAACAATGTCAAAATGTGTGGAAGGAAATGCCGGTTTAATCTCATTTGGTTATTTTTTGTTGGATACTAAGAATTCAATTGGGAGTTCCATTACAAGTGGACAATTTTATTTTGTCATGTGTTTATCGTCCTAGTCCCACAAGCTCAAGCATACAGGAAATTATTAAACCAAACTGTGGTACGGTAGGCCCATCGTGACAACAATATGCGATGCTGTAATTTTTTTCCTTCCCTCACGGTAAAAAATGATCACTGGATGCTGCAGACTTTGCAGACAGCTCACAGCTGACCCTAAGAGTTATGTTTGTAGAACAACAAACTTTCAAACATCTTACCCTGCACAATTAAAAGATTGGTGAGCCTTGATGACCAGGGCCTTAAAATTGCAAGGCACTGATCCCTCAAGGCCAAATTTTTCTGATCTCAATTCTTTAAGGTACATGTAGGACACACCACTGGTAAATCACAAAAATGGGACTGCCAAATAATCCTGGAATCTCGAACTTGAAAGTGCACAGCAAGAGGATTTTCGTCAACAGAAACTGCAATTTCCAGATGATAAACCCCCGTGTTTCCAGATATACAGTACATGTAATTTGCTCTATGCCTACATGTACAGTATGATATTTACACTTCCTCTGGTGTGTAAACTGACGTGAAAGTGTGGTCATGAATTCTAATGGCGCACACACATGCGTAGGTTAGACACATGTACATGTAGGTTAATAGTATCACAGACACGAGTCGACTGCAGTGACTTTACTGCTTGCTAAAGTTTTTCCTTAAATCCACAGTGTTACATTGTCAAAGAGGCATACTACATGTTCTTAAAGATAATTTACTGTTTACTCTTTCCATCCTTGCAATGGAAAAGTGCTCCTTTTAAAGCCAAGAGTGCCTGTCATGCTTGTTCATCCCTGCGAGTGCATTATTCGCTCACTCAGAATGCCTTGTTGTTCAAGACTAATTTAAGATCTTCAACTTGACGGTTGAAGAGGCTGCTCTGTTTTTCTCAATTTTTCTTGAAGTACATGTAGTTCACTCAAACACGAACTATGTCAGTGGAATGAAAACTCAGTCAGCGATTTTGTTCCAGAATTTTGTATAGCAAATTTGCTATGCAATTTTCTGTTTGTATAGCAACAATTGCTTTTGCGTAGCAATCAATTAGTTATGCATGTAGCAAATACGAACTAGATGATTAAAAGAAGTTTTGGTGGGGTGGGCGAGGATGATCAACCATTTTTTTATGCGGCCTAAAAATAAAAAAAATGTTCAGTGAACTTCGTCGTACTCGTAATCAAGGTACATGTACTTTAGTTATTTGAATTCAATTTTATTTTGAGTTGAAAAAGTTGGTGTACTGATACACCTGCAGCGTTGCCACATTTTTATCACTAGCCATGTGCTTGCAATTGGCCCTGGTCGGTAAGCCAGGCTACCGTATGCCTGTCTGCAGCAGGCTTCCAGAACTACGTCTACATTTATTACCAGTATTAGTGCGTCTCTGCATATTTTCAGTGGAGTGAAGACATAGAAATGTACATGTAGCTCACTCTACACCACAGATTTGTGCAGCATAGCGCATCGGCAGGAACTAATGTCATCCATGCTGCACTTGATTTCTCCACAGTGAGCACTCCGAGTTGCATGTGCACCCTGCCGATGTACATATATACATGTACATTTTTGCTTGGGGTCACCGTTGTGGGATTTTCGTCCTATTTTGACATACATGTACTTTACCATTAATGTTCAGGTAACTACATGTATTTGTTGAAGATCTCCTAAGATTGTTTTTATTCTTTGATTGGAAATCTCCATCGCAAATTTTATTGTAAATTGCATCTGCCAACTGTGATGTAATTTTGAAAATGGATCACAGAATTGCCGAAACACATTGCAAATACAATGTCATACAGGGGAAATCGCTCATTGAAACTGCAGTTAATTTTATACCCCTAAAAAACTCCCTTTAAGGTTAAGGCCAAGGTCGTACAATGAAGTCTTAAGGCCTTCAAGCTAAGGCTCAGCATTGAGGCACTACATCACTGGTCACTTGTCTTCTTGTTTCCCCATCCATTCAGATTGATTCGTCCGACCTCAGTGACAGCAAAGGCCACACAACCCCCTCCACGGGCGGGGTAGACACCACCCTTGCAGAATTCACCTCCTCCCTGGATAGACTGGTAGCTGGGAGGGTGGCGGCTCTCGTAGATGAGTACTTAAAGAGAAGTGAAAACATGGAAGACAACCTCAAGGAACAGATGGAGAAGGGAGAACCCAGAAGCATTGACCTTAGCATATGGGACTTCACTGGCCAGTCAGTGTACTATACACTACACCAGGTAAGAGATACATGAGTGTGCAGTGCTGTTGTGTAAGTTACAGCTTCACTCTTTGGCTTCAGCTACAGCTGTTGTGCAGAAACAATTTCAAATGGTTTCTATTGGCATTGGCTAAAAATATTGTAAAACTTCACAGGAGACAATCTGATAAATTCCTGATAGGAAAATTGGGAAGTCGCAACTTGGGATTCAAGTACACGAAGCTGTTACCCCAACTCCAGCGATGTAGACCAGTGCTGGGTCCACCTTTTATGGAATGGGGATTGCTTACAATAAAAACAAACCCAAAACAAGTGGGGTATTTTTTTTTCATTATGAAAACAATTTTTGTCTTCAAAGTTATTCTGTTGAAACAGGAAAAGATGACATATCCTTCCAAAAAGAACTAGGGGAGAGGGCTTAAAACTGTGTACTCCTGTATCCACTGGTGAAGCCTGCATGTATGATAAGACCCCTTCCCCCACACCCTGATGGGCGTTGAAAGGTGAAGAATCACCAAAGATACGACATTGCAAAGATACCAGAAAAGAGGTTAAGTTTTTTTCTCACAGTGTGTTGGATTTCACATGACTGCATCTAGGAAAGGAAGCAGCAGGTTGGCATTTGAAAGTTTACAGGGATGGCAGAAAGACTTACAGAACAGAGTTCGGAGGGAAATGAATGTGCAGGCAGAGGCAACGAGGCCAGCCTGTGTGATGTACATGTTGCAACATTTATGGGGGTGGAAAATGGTTGATGTACATGTAGTTTGATGACCATTAACAGGTGGAGAGTGAACACTTGATTGATGATGGGAAAAATCTGAAAGAATGAATAAATGGAAGAAGTTGACATGCAGACAGTAGGACTGATGTATTGTTCAAGCATATTGTGCAAATGGGGCTTGAAAAAATGGGTGGATCGGACCTAGAGTTTTTGAGGTACCGAATGATAATAAGGTAGAAGATCTTAAAAAATGTAAAGAGGAAAGCATAATGGCCAACAGTATTGAAGTTCAGATGTGGCTGAAAGATCTCAAAGTATCTTATTGGATGAAAGGGATAAGAAAATTGCCCAAGACTGTTTGTAACAAAGCCCTTTGTGTCTCTTCATCTGCTCAATTCTTTGTAGGTGTACCTGTCCTCCAGGGCTGTATATCTACTGACCTTTGACCTCACCAAAGACCTTGATGCCCCCATCCAGAGTCAGTCAGATGGTTGCTGTGAGCAGGTAGGTTGCAAATGAATGGCATCTGTACCGCTCTTAAATGACTCTTGATACCTGAGTTGGAATTTGCTGCTCATGTCCACTTACCGGTAGCTTGTCAATTGCGACAACATTGCTTCTCACCATCACTTGCACACAGTTAGTCAGTGCATGTGCACCTGCCTGCCCATTACCCATCAGCCAATCAAATTGTGTCTTCTTTGGCCCCGAGCAGGTGGAATGGAGCCAAGGTAAGTTTACTAACCTCGACCACATTGACTTCTGGTTGCGGTCTGTCCATGCCCACACGGCTGAGAATGCTCGCAATGTGCCCGACAACACTGCTTTGTCTCCGCCCATCTTCATCATTGGGACGCACCGCGATGGTCTGGGATCGGACCCAGCAGAGCGAGACAGACAGGTCAGTACAAACAATCAGCAGTACCGGTATTTTGACTTATTGGCTGTGTGCACCTTGTCTTTTGCCATTTTCTACGAGTTCGACTTTGAAAACATGAAGTCTACTTTCAGGGAAGTACAAAGTTCAGATTGTATGGTCTTCACATAGTTTTTGTGAGAGGAAGGACTTTCATTATTATATTTGCTGGTCACTAACAGTGCTGTCCATACATTAATGAAAAAGTTTTTACTAAGCATTTTTGTTTTGTTTTTCTTTTGCCTTGTAGGTGGATGAGAAGTTCCGAGTGATACGTGCTTGTACCCAGGGCAAGCCATATCAATCCCATATCCTACCCACATACTTTGCTGTGGAGAATTGTTCAGAGAATACAGATGACCAGGTATGGCTCATAAGCTGTGTGAATTGTTTAGTTAGTGGGAATATTTAGAAGATTCTCGATTAGTTTTGGTCATTTTCTGTGCTTACTCCAGAAGTGTTCTGATTGCTGAATACCATTCTTATTTATTTCCAAAGAGAGCGGACATTTATGATCAGGAACATTACTCCATTGTTTCAGTCAAACCAGATAAATCTGGTTAGGCAGTAATGTTCCTGTAAGAATTTCATTTAAGTGATGACCAGAGTACATGTGCTCTCATTAATCCGTAACAATCCTGGATCCTCCAAAAGTTTGGACTCTCTGGGTTAAGGAATTGCCTCATATTTGAACGACTTTATAACACATGTACTATGGAGTCGGGGGTTTGATTATTTACCCAATAATAAAGGTTTAAACACTTCAAACAATTTGTAATGCACTTCCTATTGCTAATGTATGGCCATCTTTCCAAGAAATGCAATCAATTAACAACCTGTATTGCACTGCCCATGTCCTCCACATGCATAAAGCATTGGGCTTACATGGTATTTCCTTCTGTTTTGCAGATTGTCAAATTGCGGGAATGCATTGAGCAAGTGGCCAGGCAGGAACCGTACATGGGTGAACACATTCCGCTCAAGTGGCTACGATTTGAGCATAGTGTGGCAGAGTTGGTCAAGAAGGGCACCAACTGCTTGCCCATTGAAAAGGTTGGCCCGGGCACCAATGAACGTGCTCAGATGCTTGGTATTTATGCTGCAGACATGCAGTGTGCTTGTGTTGTCAACAAGGAAATGTGATATGTTTGGTTCCACAGTTGTGGCTAATCTACATGTGCCAGTGTCAATGATTTGGTAATGGGTTGTAATGTTCTACATTTTTAACTCAAAATGTGTAAGTTTTCTTCGGGCCATGAAGATTACAAATAAAAACCATTCCATGTTGTGCCCCCCCCCCCGAAAATAATAAAGTAAATGTAGATTGAATGTCTTGATTTTTTATCACATTGTTTTGCAGGTGAAGCAAATGGCAAGCGAAGTTGGTATTGCTTCAGACCAGGGCGTGGCCACGATGCTGCAGTTCTATCAAGACCTGGGTGTGGTCATCTACAACCCAGAGCCGGGGGTGTTGGACGTCGCCCTTCAGAACATGGTCATCCTCAGGCCTCAGTGGTTGATGGAGGTTTTCAAGAGAATCACAGAGACCAGTCAGGATGACACAGAGGTGAGTCGACGCAATATGCGGAGGACATTGAGATCGAAGTCCGCGGTAACGCCACTTGAAGCTCTTTTGTCAGTGAGGTTCTGAAAAAACCCAGTGGACTCAACATTCCAGACATGTCTCCTAATAACGAACAGAACACACTGTCCAAAACATTGAGGCCATGGAGACTTCTCCAGACCTCACTTAATCACAAAGAGGTTAGCAGGTGCTGTCACAAACCTTTATTTCAGTTTGACTCCCTCTATGCGGACCTTCATATATGTTTTATGTTGAGGACAAATTTTATTAGAGTTTAGGAGGGATTTGTCGGTGATATATACCAGGAATACCTACTGGGTTGAAGCTAATCAATGACATTAGTTTTGTAGCAGATACATTGCCACAAATCTAGCACATCAGACCCATAGCATGTATTTTGTATTTTGACCACATTTTAAATGGAACTTTGTTATACCTCTGTCTTTATGAAGAGTGCAAAGATTTCTGTTGTTTTATTTATGGATTGAATAGCTTGACAAAGGTCACATCATGCTTTTTTGCAGAATTCAGAGGGAAGTGAAGTCATCGCGGTAGTTATAAATGTCATTGTTAAACAGCCATTGGTGGTGTACTGGAATGTGCCAAATTGTGAACCAACGCTTACAGTTTGATCCTACCCTTTCTTGTAGTTTGCACCGTGCTGGAAGCGACTTCATGAACAAGGCATCCTAGAGGACCGACTAGTGGACCATCTGTGGGCTGAGACCTTAGAGCAGAAACCAGCCCTGCTGGGACTGATGGAGAAGTTTGATCTGCTGTGCCGAGACCACAAAGCAAAGGGACAGGTAAAAGCCCCGGGGGAAGGGGGGGGAGATTCAGAGTGGGTGTGATGTATGAAGGAAAAACAGGACTGTGGCCACATTGAGTTGATTCTATTCTGCATTTTGATCAAAATGATTACAAGATTGCCTTCCCCCAAAATATATACAGAAACAAAAGAAAAGGCACAGGTTAAAAAAGCGAGAAAGAGTGACACAATCTATCCATCACTGACATTTGGAAATTTTGAACTTAATATGGTTTTTCATGAGGTTGGAAATAAAGTACAACATTAAGGCATATGAAGAATGAGCATTGTATGAATATTGGCAATGAATAATGACGTGTCTTCAGGGAGCTTGCATTTTGGTATGCCTTACTGAAAATGATTAGGATGTGTGTAGATGTAGTCATTGACTTGTTTCCTTTCTAAAATATTTTACAGCATAAACCAATTTTTTTAAAGAAATTATAAATTGCACAGAAGTAAATTCATTGCACAGGAGTTTCATTTGTTAACGACCGTGCTAAGAGAAATAAGAGAAAGACAGCAAAATGACTGTTCCTGATGAATGATTTTTTTTTGCCTGTGTCTTCCTTGATAGATATGGTACTACATGCCGTCATGTCTCAAGGAATTGCCCAACAGAGAAGAGCTGGTGACTGATGCCAAGAATGCTGTAATCTTCTACATCACCTTTGGTGGCTTTCTGCCTGGTAAGATGTTTGATGGAATTGATTTCTACTTTGTGTTTAGGTTTACCAGGCAGCGGGAATGGATGTGTGAATCTGATTGTGTGTGCATAGTCTGATGTAGTGGCTGAGTAGTCTGCAAGGGCTGACCCCGTGAGGTTCCCCGGCTCAAACGTGTCGATTGCCAGTCACAGCAACATTGCTGTGCAGCATTGTCTCAGAGTGTAGAAAAGATGATGTTATGGTGAGATGTTTCATCATTCTTGGTGTTCCTTTTGGTTATTAAGTGTGGCTGTAGTGTTTTTGAGATTTTTGGCCCCACCAAAAAGTCAAGCCTGAGGCCTTTTTCATTTGAAATACTGTCCAAAAGTTGTTACAAGTTATTATTAGCAAAGTAGAAAGGTCTGAATTGTGAAAACCCTTGTGAAGTAATGTGCCCAGTATTGTTTTTTATCAATAAGAAATTCAGATTTGTCCTTAGTCTTGTTATTTTAGCCATTACGTTGAAGATGTCTGAAGCTTTGTTTCCCCTCTCTCATAGTTGGCTTGTTCCATCGCCTGGTAGTTCGTGCCTCTCGCTGGTCCTTAGACCATGGAGACCAGCCCCCTAAGCTGACCTTCAGGCAGGCCCGGTTCTTTGTTGATGAGCAGCATGACTTTGTCTTGGAGATGGCACCGGTCCGATTTGCAAGACTCAAGGTGACTCAGATTTACGCCAATCCTTATCAACAGACTGATTGTGCTAGTTAAGTTACATGACCTATAGAAGGTTTCAAACACCAACAAACATGGTGTCCTTCCACAGCAAAGTGTGTCATAAATGTAGTTTAGCAAAATTAATGCCAATTTTCTGTATAGTGTTCAGCACATCTGTAGTCTGAGTACTTCACCAACCGTTGGTCGGCACAGTCAGTTGAAGGGTATAATAAATGAAATGGGTAGGAAAAACAGTTTTAGTTGGAAGGGAGATTCTTTTTCATTAACTTTTTGTTGAAATTAATAATGGGAATAAAAGTGTAATGGGGCAGTTTCAAACTAGTGTGTTTAAACCCGGCTTGGGACCCGGGGATGATAATGGATGAAGTTGAAGGATTTACAAACTCTGTGTGGGAGATTGTTACATTGTGGCAACAATACAGAATGTAGTGCCCTCTCTTTGTTGGTACGGCCTAAACACAAGTGGGTGCACCCACTATGTCACAGAAGGTCAGAGTAGGTGTCATCCAAAAGTTGATATTCTGTCCAATTTTTATCCCTCCTAATAGGTGACCATGGTGAAAGCAGAGAGATCCGATGAGGGAGGATCACGCAGGATGTCCTCCAAGGGGCCTGTGGGACAGAAGGCCTGTGCTAAGGTAAGAAAGGGAGTGAGGCTGGAAATGAGTCTAGACTTATTTGAAGTGAGGCTGGATATGAGTCGAGACTCACTGGGAACGACGTTGTGAATGAGGCTAGACTCACTGGAGGTGAGGCTAGATAATAAGCAGGGAATGGGTCTAGGCTCACTAGGACGGATCTCCTTTTGGCTTGTTTGCAGCAACATTTGTCCCAGACATACATTTTGTTTTATAATATAACTGCCAACATTATGTATTAGTTATTGCCTGTGAGTTTACCTCCGAGTCAGTCCTTATTGCACTCCTTCCATGATGTGGGGGTTAGTGTAGCGTAGATTTCAAATGTAATGTGCTTGCAAATGTGTGCCTTGAAGGGCAATTTCAATAATATCATTTTTCACTCAAAATTCAATCTTTTCCCATAACATGCTGAAGAATAACTAACCTGTTAGCCATGACATTGTGACAGTGTTACTGAATTGTAAAGTGACCTTGTATATCTTGACCTGTGTTAGTCTGATCCACATCTTGCTGTCAAGTTATTTTTGTGGACTTCCATTCTCCTCCAGGTACGTAACTTTTTAGACACGGCCCTGTCGGACCTGCGAGCATCTTGGATGAAGCGGTTGACCCATCGCTTCTCGGTTGTCTGTCCCTGCGGCAGGCGCTGTGGCCTGCACGGCACAGAGGGCTGCAAACGGCCCACGTGCCTTCACTTCCTGAACCTAGAGGAGTGCTTGGCCAGCAGCTTTGTCATGTGTGAACACCGACAGGTCAAGACCAGTACCTTCAGGAAGTGGTTCCCAAAAGAGAAGCCAACCATAGGTGAGTTGTATCATCCAGGTGCATTCAGTCACATAGCTAATGTCAGTTTGTTTTTACCAT